TTAAATATCTATTTCGTAGGACAAATGCTATAAATGAACTGGTTGAACTGAATGAGTATGAGTTCAACTCGCGCCTGACCGGTTTTATTTGTCTTTTCTTAGTCTGACCTAATAACTACATAATTTCGTTAACTAAATGATGTCCCTTGTTAATACGGTATTAAGGGAAACGTGCACATTCAAAAGGTGATAATGATTATTTAGTCCAATGTATAGAACCAAACGGATTTATGTCTTTACGATCTTATAGCAGCGACTTCGTCTGCGTGCCCGGGATACTCTAATTAACTGGGATAAAATGTAATAACCTTCTCTATTCCAAATACATGTAGGTAACATACAAACAAACTCATTTTCATATTTATAATATCACTAGCAATCCGACCCGATTTCGCAAAGGGAAATAGAATTTTCAATAATAGTATATAGCCTGTTTGTTACTAATCGATAATGTATGTTGGTGCAAGAATTGTTAAAATAGGTTAAGTCATTTTTGAGTTTTTCTATTACAAATAAATCTTTCCTCTTTATAATATTAGTATAAATTATAGTAAGGATATCACCGGTTATTATTATCACCATCATCATTATAATTATTATCATATTTTCAGTTATTAATTACCTTAATAATATACTTACATATAGTATGAAAGACTACGAGGTTTAGGACTTTCAAATTTTGAATATATTTCTATTCCTATATCTCGTTCTATTATCACTTAGGAAATTATATTAAAATTAGGACATAAATGTATAAGCATAGATCAAAGCCTTAATAATCAGCTAGTATCTATATAATAAAAAAAATAGTAACGAAACCATGTTGGTTTATTTAAAAATAGAATATCAAAACACATATTTTCGAATACTTGATAGTGCGTTAAAAAACTTTATGTATTTCATTATGCACATAGAAATATACAAAAATTGGATACACAAGCGACAGTCAGAGTATAGATAGTGTTATAATAATAAAATGATTGAATCACTTAACTCAAAGGACCGATTTTCTAAGAACAAAAAACGCTCTTGGGAATATTAGTGATCTGTAGTGGTCCGATTTTTGTGGAAAGGATGATAAGTGAAGCGATAATTTCAGAATAGAGTAGCTTTTATCCAAAATTTGGTATATTACAAGTAGATTTACGATACAGTTGGTTTGGTGTGATAATACAAGTCGACTTTCTTTCTTAACAACAACAAAATACAACAGTCGAATTGAAAACCTTTTCCTTTACGAAGTTTCTTAAAAAGCCTTTGAAGTTCTTAGTTTATACTTTTGAGCGATAGCGTCATGAAATAATATCGGATCCATTACTCGTAATTGAAGTTTTCAGAACACACAAGATGATAAATAAACACGAATGTAAAATATTGTATACAATATCATTAGCTTACGCGATTCCGATCATTACCAGACAAAGTTGTTTCTCAAATGTTCTGAGAGAAATTTATTTTTGTACCCGAGTAGTACAACTCCAATATTTCTTGTATATTATTTTATTATCACCAACGCGACAATTTGAAATTCACTTTTACCAAAACAAGGTCGTCGTTTTCAAGTAGTTACAAAAAGCAGAAAATTCTTAAATTCATCTAGTTTTTTTATCTACTATATGTGAATATTTGAAGTACGAAAGAAAACGAATGAATATAAAGAGGAATACAGTTGTGAAAACCGCATCCAATTTGATGCAGTACTTTTTGCATAATATCAAAACAAACATACAGATAGACAGACAAAACTTCTAAAAATAATTGTTATGGAATTTATTGGTCTTATTAAGGTCCCTTATATAATTTTTTTTTAAATATTTTCTAAATTCTACAAAAATCGATACCAGTAGTAGATTCCCTCTATTAGAAACAAATGGTTCTAAAATAAAATTTGAAAAAATCGGGTAAATTGTTTATTACAATATTTGAGTTTTTTTTATAACATAAAGATAGAATAGTAATCTCGCCTGTGCTGTTGGTGTATTTGGCAGGTTATCAGAGTGATAATAGACAAGAATGAAATCAGGTCAAATGGTCCATCGTAATAAAATTATTAGGAATCAGTTACGAAGGTTTGTACTGCGGATCGCGTGGAGATCTACCTAACAGGATATATTGTTAGTAATAAATCCAGTAGACCCCATTACTTATCAATTCTCTTTTTCCAATATTTATATTTGTAGATACAATCCAAATGGGTATGCCAAATGTCATAAGCATTGGTTAAGTGGTTAAGGTTTCAGTAGGTAACAACCAAATATGCAAACTCTTTCTAACTCTTTCGACTCATTTACCATATTAGTAAGGATTTTGTCATCTGATATGTACATATCATGCTTACTAAATAGCTCTGAGTGCTTCCATGAGCCGGATAGTTTCGCAAATTGTTTGAATACGCTAATGAGTGGTTCATACGTCATTCTACTGAATAGGTGCCGCCTGGGGGACGAATCCACTCTTGTTGTTTAACTCAGTAATTTATTAACTCGTCAAGCAAATTAGCCAAAAGTTGTACATAAAGGTCGACAAGAAATACTATAAATAATATATTATAGATATAACAGGCAAACATGATTCAGACAATCTCATTGTCTAATCCTTGAGCTAAAATACTATTTAAAATACCTACAACACTACAAGACATTAATCTTTTTAAGCGCATGTTTTAAAGACATGAGCGCTGGAGAGCTTAAAAAATTTAAATTACAATTTTGGTTCATAGGCGATGGATACTGTTTTCCATCAGGTGCATAAGCGTATTTAGGGGTGTGAGCTCGTGTGGGCCGTGTCTGTTTTATTATGTTGGGTTTGCTGGAAACGAACTCTTATAGAGTTAAGCTCGTCTATTGAACATCTTTATTTAATACTATCTTTCGCCCGCGGCTTCGCCCGCGTGGTTATCGCAATATGCAGTTTTTGGAAAAACTCGATAGATTTATTTGGATAAGGATTAATACTGGAATATGAAAATACCACCCAGACGGCAACCAGCGTGGTTATTCGTAATTTTAGAAAGAAAAGTGATTACTGTGACCTAACTTAACTGGTGTGAATTTACTGCGTACAGAGGTATAACACCTGAGTCCTCAGGAATGGCAACGCATGGGGGGCATCATGGGCGAAACAGTATACTCTGTTATGTCCATGGTACTGCTGATAAAATTTCTAAACTAGTAACTAGCATTGTTGCTGTCACGTTTATCCTCTTGTATATATGCAGATATTAAATTTATTCAACCTACATCAACCTCCTTTTTATCACGCCACTTATAATGGTCCTGTAGTGACCTTATCCATTGCTTTCTCGCTATCCACACTATGTCATCCGACCCTCGGATTGATGGTTTACCGGCTATGAACAAAAAAGATATATTGAGACTGTTATGGTACATATTAGTTTTTATCTACGTGATTGATATAAGTTGATTGACCGAGATTTTTTATCTCGGTAACCTATGATCTTTCCCAGGCATATCAAATTTCATGATGATTCGTTGAACTTAGGTAGATGCCAAGAGGTAAGAACACACACTTTCACTGTTTCATTATAATATTAGTAAATATACGCAATACTAAATATAGTCTTGTGCATTCATATTAATTTTAATTTTTTATAGACAATTCGTAAAGTTATTGCCAATGCTGGTAAAGTAATACTAGGTAGTTAATTCATACTTTTTTTAAATAAATACTAGATTTCACACTCTTTGGCTTTGACTTTCTTGTTGCTATTAATTAAAATTTAAATCAAATGTTGTTAGATATCTATTTAAGATATAATGGATGAGATATATTGCATCCTACTTACCCATCGTGTTTACTTTTTCTTATCAATGTAAAAAATATAATATCTTTCAAGTTGGAATAAACAACACACATTAATAAAATTTAATTAAAATCGTTTGAGAAATTTAATAGATTTAACGTGGAATAGCCCCTCCCTAATAGGGAAGGCTTATGTTTAGCAGTGGATAGTTAAAAGCTGGTGTGATGATGATGATGATGAATGTGAAAGAATATCGTGACACGGTATTTTTATATATGAAGGTATGGATATATGTATAGGAATATCTATAGTTTTACTGAATATACAATTATTCATATTGTTACTCAGCGTAATGCATTTATTTTTTCATTGGCATAAAGGGCTTTGGATGAATTTTCGTATAGTCATTAAAACACAAAATTTTAATTAGGGTACCCCAGATTCAATTAATTTTTTATTAGGTATGCGTTGTCATTAAAATTAATAAACAGTTTATTAATTTTACAAGGGTAATGTAAATAGATGAAGCAAATAAAAAACCTGAGGTAGGCATTTTATATTTATTTGACTGCGCATAATTTAGTTGACTACGCTGCTACATATCCTATGAGGATTGTTGTTGAATTTTACATAACAATTTGCTTACTTTGAACAAAAAAGACTATGTTTATTTTATATCCATAGCACAAAAGTAAGAACAAAGTATGCAGGAATAACAAAAATATTAAATGAAAAACTAATACCATTGACACAAATATTGGTGTAGCAGCACAAAGAGTAAAAATAAATTTATTATCTGTAATAAAATATCATGATAACACTTCATTTATCTAGTGATTTGAGCACAAATTCGAATTTTCAGATTTTGGATTTGATCATCTTTTTATAAATAAAGAAAAAAAAATTTATTCGATCGATTGTAATTTATATCAGTCTGTGTTCACAACTTTGTTCACATGATTTGTTTATTATACCATTTATTTTTGACTAGAATAAAGTAGCAATTATCTTTTGGTGATTCGAATAGTTGGTTCACTCTCAGTGAAATTCTGTACATATATAATCCCCTAGGTGAGCCGGTTATATATTATAAGTACTGATAAATTTTTGTGTTTCTATCTGCCTTAATCTACCAAAATGGCAATGGATTACTTATTTAGTAATTTGTATTACGCTGTTTGAATTATTTTATTCTGTCTTTTACATAAATATATTAATTCCTATATTATTTTTACAGAATTGGTGGGCCTAAATGGTATAACACGTAGAGGCACTACCAGCAGCTATGGGAGTCGGTTGCAGCGAGCGCCAACCTGTTCATCCTGCACGTCGATCAGACGAGGCACCTTAGCAGTCGGGAATAGCATCGGTGGTCCAACACTTCGAGTCTCCAATAACCCACCAGTTCGAGCGGTTTCTGTTCGCACACATTTCAATTAATCTAGTCATGGAAGACTTAATCATAATTAACATAATAAATCATCTAGTCTTAGAAAGTCAGTAATGGTGGTCAATGACCCTATTGCTAGAAATATATCGTATCAGGTCGATCTCTATGGGATCTCCCCGAGCAATCGTTGTGATTAATTCCTAGCGAATTATTAATAGCTAGATTCATCCTCACCTATTGTCCCTTACTGGTTTCCCATCAGCGTATGTCAATAGCGCAGAGAGAGTTATCATTTCATTTCATTCAATTACAACAAATAGTTTATAATTTGAGAAACTTGGCTATCAGGAAAGTTAGTTTATTCATGCCAACTGTCCAAGTAGAAAGGGATAATAATTTTCTTTAGATATTTAAATAACTAAATGAATCATTGAGTACCAAAAATGTCCCAAAACACATTCAATCAGCTAATGACGGCTAATGTATAAACCATAGTGCATGAAAATACATTATATACAATTACGATTTGTGTGATAAAAGTTGCCAATTACAAATACAATTTTGTACCTAAATACTTTACGTAAAGCGACATTTACGTAAAGTATGTATGACATTTAAAAAAATACAGTGTGTTTGATGAAGAATTTTTAGATTAAATTACTGTATTATAGATCTAAGGATTTCATTTACAATATCATGGTGCTGAACGATAGATGTCATTCGATATTTACAATACTGATATATGAGTAAGTATTTTTATCTTTTCTCCTTATTACTGTATTAGAGTAGTGGCATTAAATACGAATTCCTTCAGATAATTATATGAAGCACATATTTAGTAAATTCTATGATACTATGTTTAGATCTCTATGTATTTGAACATAAATATCCTAGATTTACTATTTTATATATTCTGTTGAATTTACGAAGTAATAAAATATGTACCGTGTGTAATATATTACACATTTTTCATCATAAAATATTTATTCTGTACATACGAAAACCAAATTAACATAATTGAAAAAAAAAACAAAAAGGATGATTTTTTACTATTATCATGATACATCGATCTGGTAACAAATACTTAGGTATATATGTATATTTTCAGTATTCGTAATATGATAAGTCCTAATAATTATAAACTCTAACTAAATTGTTCAATAAAATCTGCAATAAAGTATTAAAAAAAAGTTACTTGACATACATACAGTCTTATAAATACTTGGAAATTTTATTCTTGGCAGTAGAATCAATATGACGTTATCTATTTAATTTTTTTTGTCTATTTTTTTTAAACTTTTCTTTTGATAAAAAAAATAGGTACTTGTATATAATTAATAATGTTCAGTTTACAAATCCGTCATGAAAACGTAGAGATTATACCAATATCTATATATATCAATATATATATATATATATATATATATTGATGAAGTGTGATACGAATAAGTTGACAGTCGCCAGTCATCTGTTAATCACCAATTATCGCCAGTTAGTTAATTATTTTAGATATTGGTATAATCTCTACGTTTTCATAGCGGATTTGTATCACACTTCACCAATATAATTATATATATATATATATATATATATATATATATATATATATATATATATATATATATATATATATATATATATATATATATATATATAGCGAAACTAAATTTCACTACATCACTTCATCATCATCATATCAGCTATTATCTGTCCACTGCTGAACATAGACCTTCTCCATAAGTCTTGCCAGTAGCTGCCACGCTTGGCAGGCGAGTGGGCAACCGCAATTAGCCTTGGTGATTTAAGAGGGATGCTACTACCCATCTCTCGATGATTAAGTTCCCTTAGTTGCCTTTACAATAAAGATTTCGCTGTGATATCAAATTATAATTTAATTTCCGAAATAAGTTTAAAGAAAGGACATTTCAGAATCGACCCCAGTGTCATATACTACTATTAATGTCATGTGAATGAAGTCGCAAGCATAGCTAGTTTACAATATCTAATTATGTTACTATATTTAAATCAAAAGAACATAGTACCAGGTTCACTTAAGTGGAAATTTCGTCGAGTATGCTCGATTAACTCTGAGACCGTCAAGGTCAACCTTTTTTCACGTGTAACTATGCCGTTATTGAAAACCAGACAATAATTGTTTGACAATTATTCTAGTAATTTTCAAAAGAAAGTTTTTAATTCATAATTTTTTTTGTAGCTAGTTTTTGTGATTATGTTACCAATTCTAAAACGATTTTGAAATTCTTTTTGCAATCGATAGAGTTCACTATCGTTTTTATTATTTGTGAATTATAAAACTGCTTATTGCGAAATATATGTCTTCTTGTAAACACGATTTTACGTTATTAATGTATCTTAAAATATTTCCAATCTAATGTGTCTACGATACATCCTGTCATTTACAGATAAACTCGCTTATATTTTGTGAGTAAAATTTAAATAAGCTCCATATTTGCGATACTATTCATAACTAATGCTAATATCCTATACATGCTAAAATTCAGTCTTCAGTTTTAATAAGCTAATACACTTACAGAAAATCATAGAACAACGTCACTGGAGTCATGGATTTCTATTTCAATGTATACTTATTTCGCATACGCTATCCGGAACAGTAACATTGAAATGATGCAACAACAAAAGGGTTGGGCTAAACGATTTTAACGACTCCAGATGTATTTCCGTATATGCCCTCGGAGAATATATATGTGAGACATTTAAAAATAGCAGAGAAAAAGTAATAACATTTACAAGAAATATTGTCTTTTTTTATGCTTCGATTTTGTGTTTATTCTTATTTTTATTCATTTCAATTCATTGATTCTTTATTAGACGATACAAATAAATGATAATTTAGTTAGATTTTCCACATTTTAAAATAATATGGGTAAAATCTAAACTCGACAGTTGAATGGAAGAATTATATTTTATTTTTCGAATTATAATGGTGTTAGCCGCAGATAGCTTTTACAGCTTCACGGGAAATAGAGGGACGAGTGCAGATGGCACTCCAAACCCGCGGAAGGACTTACGAAGTGGTCTTTCGCTGTCTGCTGTCTAAGAATTATAATGCACTCCTTCGATATTTAGGACTCGGATTATTTTTATCTAAACACTTATTAATAATTTCGAATAAGAAACAAAAACAATTGCAATCGAATTTTCTGAAGGGAACCTCTTTTAGAGATAAGATTGCCCTTGTGTACCATTATGTATTATTGCAATTTTGTTATAATACCTTTTGTATACAATAAGGAATAAAGAACACATTATGGAATAAGTCCGCCATTGTATTATATATTAAATCATTTATCAGTATTCAATGTGAATTATGTACAATAAAGATTTTACAACACAATACATTAAAAATAATAAGGCAAAATATGTAAAACTAGTTTTTACTCGCGATTTAATTCGCGTCATGCAGATATTTCGATTGGTCAGTATACATTTTAGTCCTGTCTTTCTCTATGTCAAACAGTATGTACGTATATACCAAATTTTATGATATAATCGAGCTATTTAGGCTTCAAGAGATAACAAACAAATTAATTTTGTAAATAATATTACAAAGTGTTTATTACAAATATCATATTGAAACTCTAGTAGTATCAGCCCTTATCCGTCCACTGCTGAACATAGGCTTCCCCTGAGTATAAACTACCATAAGGAATGGTCGTCAGCCACGTGCATCTATTGACATCTTTACAAGATATTTGATATCGTCACTACACCTACACATTTGCCCGTACATCGCTACTTGAAAACCTTTATTCCCCATCGGTTATCGGTTCTTCAAACTATAAACTAAACCAGCTACTACTAAACCAGCCCATTGCTACTTTAGCTCGCTTATCCTTCTGGCTATATCGGCCTCTTTGGTTCTTTTACGGATATCCTCATTTCAGATTCCGTCATGCAAAGAAACTCCGAGACTTCCTTCTTCATAGCTCGCTTAGTAACTTGGTGCTTTATGTATATATGTGTGCGAGCATATGTAGGACCATGTTGGAATCAGTATCAGTATGAACGACCGAATATGGGATAGAGTTCAATTATGCATAACGTATCTCTTTGTAATCTCGTATTAAGTAACTTAATTTAATTGAATGCATGCAAGTATACTTAATTTTATTTATGTAACAATCAAACCAATTATTAAATTAATAACTAATAAACTATTCTTGAACATTATTTTATCTCTTTTCATTTCGACTTCAAAATACTCATGTTATTTTCAAATCATCGTTCTTCATTAAGTATAAAATTTCTTTATAATAACTCACTTAATAATATCTATATGTTTATATTGATTTATTAACCCAAATATGCTATCAATTTATTGTTAATAAACAAAGACGACTTCGTAGAGAATGCATTAGTATTTCGACTCTTTATAAATACCTTAAACTGATATTCCTACATAGTAGTATATCACTGTTTATTTCTAGCTTTTATATAGAAATTGTTTTTCTTTTCTTTATTATTATTTTCTTACTAATATAATAAAATTGATAAGAGCTATAGAAGCTAAAATAATATTTTTAGAACTTTTGACAATCTATACGAGTATGTTTGATTCGGTATCACACAAAAACAGTTTTTTCACAGTTTTCCTAAAGAAATATTTTCAAATCTGGTGTATCTTGTTTTAATAATGATGTTATTAATAATGGTTTTTACAATGCTTTGTAGATCTGCTGATCCTAAAATTTTTTTTGGTGTCATATTATAATATGACGCCAAAGAAAAATTAAATTATCTTTTTTTTTGTATTTTTATGTAATCATACATTTATTTGAGGGAAAAGAGACTTTATTTATTCATTACAATTTAGCATTAATATAAAATGTTTTTTTTTTCGACTGACACTACTCGTATTTGTTATTAATGTGATGTTCATTCATTTCAGTTTAGTATTCATATAGTAACCATTATACTATTTAAATATTAAAAAAAAAATTAAGTTGTGTATTATAGTATACTAAATAATACCAATGATTTTAATTATGTATTAAACGTAATGTGTATATGTTTATACGGGAAAGAATACACGCGCCTTTGACACACTTTCGTAACTTTCTCTACCTATGTACAGGATTAATATGCCTTTGATCGATGTAATAGATTCTTTGAAGATATCTCTAATAACAACTTTTTCAACAATATATCACAACTATAATTTAATATTTACTTTAAATTTAATATTTACTTACCATATTATTTTGAGAAAGACTTTTTGAATCGGTTCAGTAGCTCCATAAATTCTGGTCCA